GCAGGAAAAAAAAACCACCACCAAGAGCTTAGAGGACCCTTGTCTAGACACAATTACGGGGTCCCAGCTGGAAAGCAGGCCAGAGGGGCACCTCAATCGGTTATGCGGCCGACTCTTGGTTTTGGCTCCGGTCATGATCTTGGGGTTCTGGAACTGAGTCCTGCATCAGACTCCATGCTCAGTGGGGAGTCAGCTTGAGATTCTCTCTCTCCCTCTGCCCCTCCCCTTGCTCAAGCTCGCGCGCTCTCTCAAATAAATAAATCTTAAAAAAAAAAATAAATAAAAGCAGGCCACAGAGAAGGAAATCTAACATAGGCGAGCACGGATTATGAAGTCAGGTAGTTCTGGGCTTTAATCCTGGCCCTGCCGTGTACGAGTTATATACATGACTTGGGCCTAACTAACCTCCCTATGCCTCAGGCTCCTTATCTGCAGAGTGGGGGTAATAATAGACCTGCTCCACAGACTTGTGAGCATTCTATAAAAGCAGCACATAAAACACAAGAAACAAAGTGCCCCATAAATAACAATGTTACACAGCAGCCTGATGGGGTCCAGAGGCCCTGAAAGCAGGAATTCTGAGTTCGAGCCCAACTCAACAATGGCCTTTTCATCCCACAGTGGCCGCAGCCCATGCCCCTCTCCTTCCCTCCAGACCTGCTCCACACCCGTGGCTCCTGAATTATACAATCCCATATCTCACAGCCTTTCATTGGAGAGGGAAAAGTTAAACAGCAGCCCTGGCATTTATTAGCTGCCTGATCTTAGGCAAATACTCTTCAACTCCATGCTTCAATTTATAAATTATCTGTGAGATGAAGGTCCGAGTGGCGGCATGCCGCCATCTACAAAGCTCCCCACGGAAAGAAGTCCCCCCTCCTGCGCCCCCTCCTGCACCTCTCTCCTCGGTTGGCAGGAGCTACAGACCTGCTCGGTCCTGGCAGCCTGTTGATATGGGGACTTGGAGGCTGGAAATGAATGGGCCCCGTAAACATCAGGAAGACCAATGAGACTTTCGTAGCCAACAGAGACCAGCAAGCTGAGCAATTGCTATTTGCAAACCTACACTAATTGGTCATTACCAAGAGCAGCATAGCAGTGCACCGCGGACCTCCCACAGTTCATTTTTAATCATGCACCCATCCCTCATAAATTTCCTCTTCCCTCTGAGTCCATTCTCCAGCACTAAGGGGCCCACAGGAGTGTTTCTGAGAAATGCCATTTCCAACAGCTGTACAAAGTGATTTCCCGGCGCCCGATCGGGGGAGGCCCTTGTGTGGGTCTGCCGAGGGTGCCAACGGACACGCTTGCTGAATGCAGCTGCACAACCCAGCACAAGTCCTTTCCTCTCCTGCTCTTCCTCCTTGCTAACGTCAGCGAATGGATGGTGTTTTAATGCGCTCATGGAAAGACACCTGTCCCGGGGCTGCTCCTGGGACGTTCCACAGGGTAGCACAGATGGAGCTGCCTTATTTATGCCCCTGCAGGGTCACTGGTAGACAGCTACCTGGCTGTCCGCCCATGCCCCCAGGCACAACGGGCCTCAGGAATGTGGTGAGGCCTGACCGCGATCAAGAAACCCCTTCCTAATGGCTTTACTACTCTTAGGGACCCAGCTCTGACTTTACTGTTGATCATCATTTTGCAAATATTTTCATAGGCAAGGCATCACCTAGACATTAAAGATACAAGGGTGATGAAAAGCAGACCTGTCTCGGCCCTTCTGGAGCCGTCGATCTAGGGGAGGGAAGGACATGTAGCAGCATATTCCACAAAGGCATGAAAGATCACACTCTGCGTTGAGGTCACCGAGGAAAGGTACGTGATCCTATGAGAACATACAACAAAGGATCCCCTGTGAGATAATGAACGCAGGGAAGGTTTCTCAGAGTAAATGTAGCTTAAGCAAAAGAACATGGAATTAACTAGCAATGGGGAAGAGGAGGCCGACTGGAACAGAGTTTAAGCGACAGGGGAATAACCTCTGCAGTGGCCCCCTGGTAGGTGGGGAGGGGCAGAGCAGATGTGAGGACCTAGTGCGTGAGCAATGGTACACGCGGGCTGGAGATGAAGCCGAGGGACGCAGGAGCCAGAAAGCGCAAGAAAATGCCACTCAGGGCTGTGGTCTCTAACGGGAACATGGGGAAACCACGGAGGGTTTTGTGCACGGGAAAGGGGATGGCATGGTTGGGCATGCTTTTGGGAAAGCCAACTCATCCTGCTGGTGGAGAACCCATCTGGGGGAGGAGTGAGCAGAGGGGAAAAGACTCATCTGGACAAAAACTGTTGTGTTGGGGAGAGGTCACAAATGCTTAGAGAAGGATGGTGGTGGGGGAGATGGAGGGCAGCTAGGACGTGGGGATAGGGACAGGGGGCCGTCAGAGATGAACTCTTGGTTCTGGAGGAGCAGCTAAGTAGGCAGATGGCACTGCTACAGCCGGAGACGCTCCAGCTGCAGGGACCGAACAGATCATGGTTCGGGGTTTGCAGAGCTGGATTCTATATAAATCATCACCACTGTGATCATCAAGTATGGCAACATCGTGTTTACAAAATGCTTTCATACTCATTGTCCTTACAGGATTCTGACAAGAGTCTCAAGGGACACAGGATGGTGGGACACGGGGGTTTCATTGGTAGGGAAATAAAATGCAGGTGTTTGGGACCTTGAATGGGGTGGTCAGCTAGAGGACAGGACACTGGAGACAATATCCTTCAGAACACATCTGATTGTATTTTTCTTCTTATTTTTTTAAGCCATAGAATCTCCAATTTGAATAGATAAAAGTCCAGGATGTAAAATAATGAACAGCTGGTCTTCCTGGATGAAAGTGGGCGTGCGAGAGTCAGAGCACCAGTCCCTCCGCCCCCCACGTCGTCCAAGACCTCAACCTCAGGGAAGCCCCAGGGTCCCCAGGAGCAGATTATAGCCCTACGTGCCTTACTCCTTCAGTCTCCCACTGTCAGTGGATTTCAAGATCATTCTGGTTTTTTTTTTTAGGTTTTATTTATTTGAGATAGAGCGCATACGCACAAGCAGGGGTAGAGGGAGTGGGAGAAGCATGCTCCCCACTGAGCGGGGAGCCTGATGCAATGCAGGGCTCGATCCTAGGACCCCAAGATCACAACCTGAGCCAAAGGCAGACACTTAACCAACTGAGCCACCCAGGCGCCGCAAGAGCATTTTAATCCTATGTTGCCTTGGCTGCAAAGGGGAGTAGGGCATTTTCAAAGACCTGCTGCATTTCAGACATTGCTGGGCCTTCACAGGAGTTAACTTGTTTAGTCCCTGCCTTGGTGGCTGTCAGCATGCCACCCAATAAACACCTGGTGGAGCCAGGGCTCAGAATCCAAATCAGATGGTTCTTCAAAGGCAAGCCAGGATGTGAACTTGGGGTTCTGTTGAACCACTTCTGTGTTTTCTTAAAAAAGTACGGGGTACAGGCATGCAAGGGGCAGGACACAGGATTGCCCAAAAAAGGAGAATGATGAAGGACGCAGAAGCATCCTGCATGCCGGGCGCTGTGCCTCCCCTCCCGTCGCTTTTCCCCACTGTGTTGGTGCTGAGACCCTGGGAGACAGAGAGGCTTGCTTCACCTTAATTAGCGTAGCAATTTGCTAAATTTTGTTTTTCCCTTTTAGGAGTGTTAATCAATTTTAGCTCAGAATAGACTGGAATGGCACACAAATTACCACGACAATCCCCAAATGCTAAATTCTGAACATCTCGATCAACCTCAGAGTCTAAAATTCGGGAAAATCAGAAACTCCGGCTGGCATCTCTGTGATCTATTTACAATGCTATGGCTCTGAAATGAAAAGATAATGGCTTTATGAGGTTTGGAACAAGCAATTTGCTAGAATCAGCCTCATGCCTAGGTGTTTAGTCCTTCCCAAGGTGACTGGAGACAGAGCATCAAAATATTTCTGCAAAGTTACATGTTCCTCTAGCAACAGCCATTTGTTAAATCCACATGCATTACAGGGTACCAACTATGCACCAGAAATGAGAAAAGAGTGAGACGTGCTCCCTGCCCCCTCCCCTATTAAAAAAGGTTCTAAACTAAAGCAGTAGACAAAGATCTCCTCTTTCCCAGAGAAGTCAGGGAAGGTTCTCGGAGGAAGTGCTGATACAGCAGAGTCCTGCAGGGTGAATAGGAGTTGTAACAAGGTAGGTGGAAGGGTATGTCAGCTAGAAGGAACAGCATAAGCAAAGGCTCAAGTGGAGGAGAGCGAGGAGAGACCAGAGATGGTTCCCTAGGGCTGAGTAACAGGCTGAAATTCCAGGAAGGACCCAGATGAGACAGGAAGAAGAGTCAAGAACTAGAAGCAGGACTTCTTGAGACCGTGAATCTCAATCCTGATCCAGGCAACGTGGCACTACGGATGGATTTTAAGCGAGGAAATGGCATGACCCAAATGAGTCTCGTTCGGTGAAACCTTCTGCTCCAACACAACCTTTAATATTTATTCAGCATAATCTTTTAAAGCACATTCACATATATTCTCTCACTTTTGCCCATTCATTATCCAATGAGGTTGGTATGATAATCATCTTTTTACTGATGAGAAAACAGACATAGCAAAGGTATAGATTATTTACGTTGTATCTTATGACGAGTAAATGACAATATAACAAAGTAAGACCCAGCCCCTTCTGACTCTGAATTCAGCACTGAGCTCACTGGGTAGCAGAATTCTCTAGAAGAGCCACCACAGACCGCTTTCAGATGCATACCAGGCCAATGGCCTCCCCCTCTAAAGAAAGCCTTGGTGGCCAGAACCGCCTATATCAGCATGCCTTCTGTGCTGATGATGTGGCCCCTTTCATGCTTTCCATAGTAAAATCAGATCTGGGCGGCAAACACCCTCAGTTACACCCTGGACATTCCCAGTTGAAAGCTGAGATTTCTGCCACTGCCAGTCTACAAGACCACAGCCAAGAAAAGTGTCCAGCACAAGGAGCTCAGGGAGGCACCTCTCTCTCCCGCCGCCCGTACCTTGAGCTCATCTGCATTGTAGAAGTCCACACGCACGGCGGGCACCATCCAGGTCTGGAAGAGCGTTGCCAGGATCTGCTCTGCGATGGAGTCGGCGATGAGGTGGAAGTGCAGGGGGTTCCGCCTGTGAAGTGGGGGGAAGAGGAGTCAGGAGGGACAAGGAAGGGAGTTCCAGCTACAAATCTACATTCTTACCAATTTGTAACATGTGGTTAGTTTCTCACAGCAGCTGGGAAAGGAAGTCAGGTGCATTACCAACCCAATGCTTGCTGGTAACCAGGATGCCAGAGCTGCAAAGGAGGGGAGGCATCTCACCCCACCTTAGGATTTCAGACAGGCTCACTGTTCCTGTTGGTAACACTCCAAGCCAACCGCCATGCCTGTTGCTAGTGTATTTGTGCTTCTAAAAACCTTAAGCAGAGCCTATGCAACAATTTGGCCAACCTTTATTTCTACCACCTAGACATTTGGGCATTAGTTTCAGGAGCAGATGGACAGAGAATAAAGTCTTCAGACCAGCTGAATGCCACAGACAAGATACTTCTCCCACTGCATGGTACGGAGTTCTGTTTTCTGCTTGTTCTTCTCCCAAAAGAAACTCAGGCACCCAAGATGGCATCATGGGGAGCCCCCATCACTGAATCCCAGCTTACCCTCACTTTTAATATTCCTACAGCTTTTATTTGTTCCCCTCAACCAGCCATTCCTGGGGGAGCCCCCAAAATACAAAGCTGCATCACACAAGGGCAAAGCTTCTAGAATCAAATGGAAATGGATTCAAATCCCAGTTGTGGCATTTATTAGTGGGGATTTGGGGCATGTCACTTCTCCCTCTGCACTGCTGCCACTTCGTTCTGTAAAATGTTCAGAAAAATCTCATCAGGCTACTATGTCAATTAGACAAGAGTAATACATAATGCATATCAAAAATAAACACAAGACCATAAACAGCAGATACACCTTCTAGTATCATAAATACTACAGAGCTAGCAGAAATAATAGCATCAACTGTATTACCACAAATGAGAACCTCTAGGAAATCTAAAGATGAAAATGCCCTGGTTCCCATGACCTCAAGGAGCTCACAATCCTAAGAGGGACCGAGGATCCACAATGTAATATAAACACAAGGTGGATCATAACATTGCTAACAACCACAACACAACACAACGTTCTTTGGGAGTAAAGGGGGAAAAAGGCTAATTCTGACTGGGTCAGGAGAACGTCGAAGAGCTGGGGAAGCTGTGCCCAGAAGATAAAGGAATTTGATGGGAAGCAAAGGGAGAGGGGACACTATCCAAGGAGAGGAACAGGAGACTATAGCCAGAGCCCAGGGCATGCCGGGAGCATGTGGGGAGAAGTGGTTAGCTGGGACTCGAGGGTCAGAGCAGAGGAGGAGAGAGGAGAGAGTGCAGGAAGCAGTGAACACCCAAGTAAACAGTACCGACTTCACCAGTGAGGCGTGGGGAGCAATGTGACCCATCTCTTAGCTCCTGGTCTCCTGAGACTCTCCCCAGACCTGTTCTAGATACACAGACCCTCTCTCAGTTTCCTATGCCCTTTCTTCACCTAAGACTTTGCATCTTCAATTTGCTCTGTAAGAAACTTTGCATTTGCTCATTTGATAAATACTTACTGAGCACCTATTACTTGCTGGGAGATGAGCAGGATGCTGGGGACAAGGTAAGATAACCATTGCTGACCTCACAAATCTCATGGTCTGGCCCCTCTTCTCCTACCCTTCACACCCCGCAGCCAGTATTTATCTCTTATTCAGCCTTTAGTTCTGAGATCTGCCATCGTTTTCTCCTAGAGTCCTTTCCTGACTACCCATGCCTGGCTCAGGGGCCCTTCCTAACAGAGAGTCATCTCAGTACCATGTACCCACCTTTAGGTTTTGATAGTTTGTTGACCTGTCTAGATCCCCACATGACTGTGAGCTCGGGGAGGTCAAGGATCATGCCAGTCATGTTCAAATATATCACCTCATAATCCACCTCTGTGCCTAGAATGCAGGAGTTCAATAGATGGATCGAATGGATGGATGAGTGATGGACAGTGGACAGATAAGGGGAACGGAGGTTCACGCGTCACGTAGAAGATGAGACTAGGGGAATGTGAAATGAGGATCTGATTTGAGGCCATGTCTGACGAAGAGCAGCAAGGAAGTTGAATCTAGAGGGATTTTAGGAAAAGAGATCTTAGATAAGGGGGGAAATGAAGTGGAAGAAGCAGAAGGGGACACTGAGGTTCCTGGGTTGGTGGTGATGTCTCCAGGACAGGGGATACAAGAGGAAAGGCACGTTGGAGGAAGATGAGAGGTTTGGGACTGGATGCACCAAGTTTAAGGTAAGGGTGGCTAAGCCTGGTGGAGCTGAATGGATGAGTTTAGACCTGAAGGCAATTAGCATCCAAGGCTAACCTGCCATATACATGACAGGTGCTCAGGGTGAGAAACAGAATAAATGAATAGAAGACACAATCAGGACTGCAGAATTTCTCTATGGGACCCAATGCCTGAACACTGCAAATTCTCCCATTAACTATCTATATTCAAGGGGAAGGGGCATATGTGCCCTATAGCATTCCTTGGAAGCCTTATTAGAAGCATCCCTGCAAGAAGCTATCAGTTGGCCTGAGTGATGATTGGTGGTCGTATATTTATCAGCCAATGACCTACCTGAAGGCTAAGTGAGAGGCAGCTAGTCAGAGTCCCTGGGAAGACAGATGGCCCACTCATCCGTCTGTCTGTGTTGGTACAACCATCCCCCCCTCCCACAGGAGCCCCAATGGAGTCTTATGCATCGAGAATGGATATAATTGTCAATTTGCATTTCTATCCACAATGGAGGAATGGCATAATTTCAGACACAGAGTGACAATACCAAAGAGATCAAGCTACGTAGATTTGTTCCAACAAAATCATGCTGCCCACGTGTCTCTGTCTTCACGTGCTGCTTGCTCTCCAGGGGATACTCACCCCCTACTAAGAGGTCCCGTGAATTCCTGTTCATCCTTCAGACTCCTTTTGCAAGTCAGCTCCTCCTGGACACCTTCTCTGAGCTCATCCTGGCCTCTTTTTTCCTGCTAACTTGGTATTTCCTATGAAAAACATGCCTAATGGGTCTGCCTTCAGCTCAGATCAGGATCCCTGGGATCGAGCCCCACATCGGGCTCCCTGCTCAGCAGGAAGCCTGCTTCTCCCTCTGCCTCTGCCTCTCCCCCTGTTGTGCTCTCTCTCTGTCAAATAAATAAATAAAACCTTAAAAGAAGAAAAAGAAAGAGAAACATGCCTACCATTTCCTTTCTTCTTCTTTTTTTAAGTAGGCTCCACACCCAGCATGGAGCTCAATGTGGGGCTTGAACTCACAACCCTGAGATCAAGACCTGAGCTGAGATCCAGTGTGATCCTCAACCGGCTGAGCCACCCAGGTGCCCCCAAACCTGCCCGCCATCTCTAGCATGACACTGCGATATGTTTTCAAACATGTGGCTCCTTGTCTCTACTGTGAGGTCTCTGAGGACAGAAACCATGTTTTCATCTCCATCCCTAGTGCCCAGAGGAGAGCCTGGCACATGACAGGTGCTCAACAAACACTTGTTCAAGAAGAAAAGGCGGCCAAAGTCCCTCTTTCTAAGTCCCCGTTAACCCTACCGTGAGAAGGTAATGACAGTCAACAGCGTCATCTGCATCAGTGGTACAGAGCTTGGGGCTCTGCTCCAGAACGTCTGGGTCGGAGCCCTGGTTGCATCAAGTACTGACTGAGCGACCATAAGCAGTTAATTCATCTTTTTTTTTTTTTTTTGACAGAGACACAGCGAGAGAGGGAACACAAGCAGGGGGAGTGGGAGAGGGAGACCCAGGCATCCCGTGGAGCTGGGAACCTGATGCAGGGCTGGGTCCCAGGACCCTGGGATCATGACCTGAGCCGAAGGCAGACGCATAACGACTGAGCCACCCAGGCACCCCGTTAATTCATCTTTTAAGGCCTCAATTTATTGATCTTCAAATCAGGAACATTAACAGTAAGTAAACAATATTGCATTGTAAGGATTAAATGATATAAAGTGCCTGGTGTGTAAGATCTTACTGTATGTTAACCACTGGTATGGTCTGAATGTGTGTGCCCTGCCCCCTCAAATTCATAGGTCAAATCCTAACCCCTAAGCTGATGGTATCAGGAAGTGGGGCCTTTGGCAGTGATTAGGTTGTGAGGGTGGAAACCTCCTGAAAGGGATCAATGTCCTTAGAAAGGAGGCTCCAGAGAGCTCCTGCCCACCTTTCATCATAGAAGGACACAAAGAGAAGTCAGCAGCCTGTAGCCAGAAAACAGCCCCCCGCCCCTTCCACCATCCAACCATCCTGGTGCCATGACCCCGGACTTCCCAGCCTCCGGGACTGTGAGGGATAGATCTCTGTGGTCTATGAGCCCCCGAGTCTGTGGAATTTTGCTACAGCAGCCTCAAGCAGACCAGGATAACCACTGTCAGTGCTAACCTAGGAAACCGTGATTTTCTCTGCTTTGCATTACTCTTCAAATGAAGTTATTTCAATTAGTTCCTCCATCCATAAACCCAAAAATGAGCTGAATGAAGAAACATGCAACAAAGAGATATCAACCAGTAAGTACATGAAAGGCGTAACAGGGGTTTAGGTGACGCAGGAGCTGGGACTCTCCTCTCTCGGTGCAGCTGTCAATCTGGCAGAAACAGAGAGAGAATGCAAATAACTACATAAACGTTGGAACACAGGTGGGCCCTAACACTGGACCACCTCACACGACTGCAAAGTTTGGGAATGACACACCTCCCAGGGAGCCATCTAAACAGACTGATATGGACAGTAAGTGAAGGGTACCCCTAGATTTGGATGGTGAGCAACCCGCACAACTGTACAGGATGGCTCTGCAAGGAGAACCACAAAAGCTACAGGGGTGGAAGAGAACCACCCCGGGCATAATAAATAGGGGCCCCAAACACATGTCCGTCCTCCTGAATTCCCTGCCAGGGGCTAAGGGCACACCATCCATCTAGCCTCACAAACTAGAAACAGGAGCATCACCAGCGCCGCGCCCCTACCCCCAATCTCCCACACAGCCAATCAATTCCACGCCCTGAATGGCC